GTTATTTTGGAAGTGTTTTGGGTATAAAAATACATAGGAAAAAATTGAATATCAACAATCGTGTTCGATGTCAAGTTGCTTGGGGAAATTCTTAAAGTCCCTACAGTTGGTGTGTCCAGTGTGAAGGATGTGTGTCAGTATAATTTTCGAAATGCCGTGGTAAAGGACAATGCGAACCAAAAAGGGGACCAGATCCACAATAAGGCATTACTCCCTGTCTATCAACTGCTTTTCGAATTTGTAAACAAAGTTCTATTGCCTTGTGCTGAGAGGAGGTCATGACTTCTAAGTCTGACCTATTTTTGAAGGAGCAATTGGATAGCTTTACTCCTGTAAGCCTGTCTGCTATTATGATTGAACACATGCAAAAAGTAGCAACCTTCAAGGATGGTAATCATGGCCTTCCTTACGGGTTTCTGCTTACGGGAGTGTTTAAATTCTTCAAGGTGCCCCTGGGGCAAGGCAAGTTAGGAACTAAGAAGCATACCTCATAGACAATGTTAGAAGAATGTGAGTGCATAGAAAATAATGGGGGGGGTAGGAAGTATATCAACCGTCTCACAGCTCATTAATGCTCAAAATAGTGCAACTGAGGAGATTCGTCGGTTGAAGGCTAGGAATGCTATCCTAGAAGGTCAGCAAGCCCAAGGGGTTCCGGCGTCAAATGATGAAGTAGCTCGTTTGACAAAAGAGAATGTTGATCTCAGGGCGCAAGTAGAGAACCTGAAAGTAAAACTGCTCAATGAGCAAAAGTCGGCCAATGCCCGAATAGACCTAGTTCTCCAAACACTTGCTGCAGCATTCAATCCCTCTACTCCTAGTGCCCCCAAAGTACCCCTTCAGTGACCAGCTTCTTGAATGTTGTTATAAGTTTTTTTTTTTGGAAGATGTTTTGTTTTCTTTTTTTTGATGTGGTTGAGATGAAACAGTACTGCTCCCGTATTTAACAATCTAATTTTGCTTTTGCTTTTTAAGCAAAGGCATATATTTTATCAATATAAAATCTATCCTCTTTTGTTATCTCATTGCTTGAATTTTATGATTCTCTTCTCTATCATGTTGTGTGCACATATGCGGTATGAGTTAGCTCGGCTAGACTTCATTATGTTGTTTGACTGCTGGTGTCTTTTTAATGATGCCAAAAGAGGGATAAATAAATAAGCGTAGAGATAAAATGATTCAAAAAGGAAGGCATAAAGTCAGGGGGAACTAGTGTGCTCCTGTTACTTTATCTGGTTCTCCTTGCTCTAAATACACGTTATCAATGTTTAAGTTTGTCATCATCAAAAAGGGGGAAATTGATAGGTTTTCAATGTCTTTGCCTTATGTTTTGATGATCTGACAAACTTACTGTCAAGGACCAGATAGGGAACCCGACACACTTGGACGACACTGCAAGTTAACGGATTCCAACTAAATATGAACTGCTATAGCTTCAGGAGATAGAGAACCAAACAAGGACCTGATACCCTTGTGGTTCCCTTATAGCAGTACGAAGTCAATTGGACATAGCTGGAAGCGATGTCTGCACTGTTTCTGCCTGCACTGCACTGTTTCCAGGGGCCACTTATCTTTTGACCAACTAAAGTGCTTACATCATTTAAGTGATGTCATCAAGGTGTATCAACAAGGAGTTTATATCAAAACATCACTCGAACACTTGTGATATTCATTCAAGCCTTTTGCAAAACTGTGAAATTAATTCTCACGAGCTTGAAGAACAAAGTTATACGCTATTACGGACCAGTTCCTAAAGTTAATATTTTGTTGTCCTTAGTTGAGTTGTAACTTTGTGATTGTTCTTATTGTTTCTCCTAAATTGCTTAGCCAGAAGCGTTGATTAGGAACCCTCTTGTAAAATTCGTAAACTCTCGGAGTTTATGTTGTGACTAGGTTTAGTATAAGTCAAAGTCTTTGTAACTAGAGAGTGACAAAGTGGCTTGTGATAAGAGTATCATAAGTTAGTTGAGTTGAATTCTTTGTAATGGAGTCATTACAAAGTAGCTTATAATAGGTGTTTACAAGTTAGTGAAGTTGAAAGTCTACAGGTGTAGGTCGTGGTTTTTGTCCCTTTGAGTTGGGGTTTTTCCACATAAAAATCTCATGTCTTATTTACTTACTGTTTTATCAGCATTCTCAATACAATCTCATAAAGGACCAGATATTCTACTATTTGGTGGACTCATACAAAACTAACTGATTGCATCTCTAATTAGATAGCAATATAACCTCCATTAATCGTGTTTGTTGATAAGATGATATTTTACATTTAGCTAGTAGTGGATTCAAGAACATGGAAAAAAATTAATCATTACCAACTAAGTTTCGATTATTTAATGCTATCACTCAATATTTCTAACAACCAATCACAATCTCATGTACAATGCCAACTTGTTATGACTTTAACCTTAAAAATAGAATTGTAATCACAGAAAAACTTTTTTATATATCCTCAAGTTAAGAGTGTTATGATGACACGACCTAACTTTGGACATATATAGCAGAGAAACTTTCGGAAACTACCATGTTTTATTGGTTATTAGCTAGTTGTAACTATCATTTACTATATTACTTTCTATAGTTATGTTTTCAAAAATTTTAGAGTGTATTTGATGTATTTAAGCTACTGTATTCATGAATACAGTAGCATTTCTAGGCGTGAATCAGGGGATTACAATTAGACAGATTTTTTTATTCGAGTGTATTCGACTGTATTCATGGCGTGAAACATGGGATTACAGCTGGACAGATTATTGTATTCGATTGTATTCACGGCGTGAAACAGGGGATTGCATTATTTTTAAACGAAAAGTGAATCAATAACATAATAGACTCCTAATATAACTCAACAAACTCAATTATAACACACAAATTATGTATTTCCAGTTATAAAAAAGATTCTCAACTGAAAAACTCCCTAAAGACATAACAATCTTCAAAGAAATTATATAATACATCTGAATACATAAATTATACTATTAATTAAAAAACATATGAATACATTCATGAAATATAGCGAGACAGTGAATACAATGAAATACATAAAATACAGCGGGATACATTGAAATACAATGAAATACATAAAATACAGCGGGATACATTGAAATACAATGAAATACATAGAATATAGCGAGATACATTGAAATACAATGAAATATATTAATAAAAATTTAAGTTGCTCAGCCCCAAACTCCGTCGTCTTTGTTCAATAACAACCCTAATGTCGTCTCGCCGTCACCGTTGCCTCCAGTTGTTGTTGTTACGCCGGAGAAAATTTCTATATCGGATGATTGCTAGGTAACCCAAAAGTCTTCGCCGGAAAAGACAAAGCGTTGTTGAAGTAACCACCTCCCGAAAATCGTACCAAGGATTCCATTGGCGTTGGTGTCGCAGGCGGCGTTTCTCTTCTGTTTGAAATTCCAATAGCAGTTTCTTTTCTGGAAATCATAGCTTACAAAATCAGACGCCCAAAGTTGAGTAAATCAAATGCAGTAGCAATTATTTTCTCAAATGCTAATAGAAGAATTTTACCCTCTTTTTTCGTGTTTTCTAGAATGGGAGAAGAGGATGGAGTGTATCAAATTAGAGAGAGAACGTGGAGTGAGAAGTTTACATCAAATACGGTATTTATGTGAGAGAAAAATCTGAAAAAGGAGAGAGAAAAATAAAAAATAGCGTATATAGTGGCTTAAGGGGAGGAAGTAACCAAAAATAGATATCTTGCTATAAACATTAAAAGGTATCTATAGAATATAATATTTTAAAATGATATTTATTTAAAATAAATAAGGTGTTAACCTTTGCTATAAGAGGTAAAAATTCCTATAAAGTATTCCTTGCGTAGAATTTTTTTTGATTCCCTAAAACAAAATTTCTTTTGATAACTTTCGAGATAAAGTATTCCTTGAGTAAATTATTTTTCAAGCATTGATTTCCTAAAACATATTACTACTTTTTTTTCTACGAAGCTTAAAAAAGGTATTCCCTGACAACTCAAAAAAAATCGAGACAAAGTATTCCTTGATTAAATCATTTTTTGCTGATGATATTGCTTCTCTTTCATGATTTTTTCACTATTGTATTTCCTTTTAAGAACTGTTATCAATGTGCATTGCTTGAGCCGGAATTCTATCATAAATAACTTATCTACCTTCATAATAGGGATACGGTTGTATACACACTACCCTCCCCAAAATTATACTAGATCCATTACAACCACAACTTCCATGTACTCCCATACTATCATATGGATAATATGTAACCAATCTTTATGTCATAGGAGATAATTTTATTTGTAAATCAACTTTAAACGTAAAATCTTATTTCGTCAATTATAATTTAAGTTAAAGAGCAAATGGAGAAAGAATAAAAACAAGCACATTATTCTCTAAGACCCCACAAACATGTAAACCACACGTTGATGGGAAAGAGAATGGATTTAAAAAGCAACAACGAAAAAAAGAAAGAATCATTATATTGTCTTTGTGAGTGCCACATTCATATCACATGAAATTAAATAAATAATATTCCTTCATTATGTAAAGCACTTTCTTTTTAAACCTCTCTCAAAAAAATTGATATTTTTTTATCTCTAAAAATTATTTAATATTAATTTTTTTTATTTTATGCTTAGATAATTTATAATCATACATACATCTATATCTTATTTTAGACCATAACTTTTAAAAAAAAACTTTTTTCAAATTTTGTTTCCCGTTTGGGAAAGTAGAGGGAAATTTGTCTGGAAAAGCAGAGAAAAGGGTTAAGGAAAGTACATTATAATGACCATTTACATTGACTTTTTCTGCAGTTCATACTTAATAACACTATAATATAACCTGTAAGACCAGTTCAATTATTTTACTTGTAAGACAAGATCATTCATGCTATTATTTTATATGGTATCAAGTTGACTTAGCAATTTGCATCATTCTTATTCATTTTCTTTTTTTATTCTCTCTATTTCAAAATCAAACCAAAATAACCAAGCACAAACAACCATGGCTGAAGTGCTTGTTTCCATTGTCCTTGACCAATTGGGCAATTTCATTGTGGAGCAAGTAAAGGGACAAGTTGATGAACTAAGAATGGCTATTGGGATCAAGAAAGAGATCCAAAATCTCTCTTTCAAGTTAAAAATGATAAAAGAGGCATTAGATGATGCTGAAAAAAGAAGGGTCAAAGACAAAAATGTAAAACATTGGCTAGAAATTCTTGAAGATTTTTCATATGACACAGATAATGTGTTAGATGAATGGAAAACAAGAATTCTACAGCAAGAAATTGAAAGAAATGAGGCTGGTGTTGGTGCTGCTTCAATTCCAAGGAAAAAAGTAAGTTGCTTTTTTCTACCTTCTTGTTTTACTTTCAAGAAACTTGAGGTGAATCGCGATATTGTTCGAAAAATAAAGGAATTGGATGTGAAGTTAGAAGTGATTGTGAGAGAAAAAGATCAGTTCAATTTTGTAGTTAATGCAAATGGTGTTGTTTCTGATCAAGATGTGTTTAAAAGAGTTATGACTACTGGCATTGTTGATGAATCAGAAGTACATGGTAGAGATTCTGATAAAGATGTTGTAATAAGTAAGTTGCTTGAGAATTATGATCAAGAAAATGGTTTCCTTGTTGTATCTGTTGTGGGCACAGGTGGGATTGGAAAGACAACTCTTGCACAACTAGCGTATGGTGATGAGAAAATAAAGGGTCATTTTGATGAAAGAATTTGGATTTGTGTATCGGACCCTTTCGATGAAGTCAAAGTTGCAAAAGCCATTCTTGAATCTCTAACTAAAAGCTCACCAGATCTGTCTCAACTGCATATGTTATTAGAAAGAATTCAAGAATGTGTCTCTAAGAAAAGGTTCTTTCTTGTGCTAGATGATGTATGGTCTGAAGATTATTCGAAATGGGAACCGTTGAAGAACTCTCTCAAGAATGGAGCTCGAGGAAGTAGAATCTTGGTTACATCTAGGAGTGAGAGGGTTGTCGGAGTGATGGGAAGTTCTTACATGCATCGGTTGGGACAAATATCAGATTCAGATTGTTGGTCATTGTTTAGTCGGATAGCATTTTCAGGAAGGAATAAGGAGGATTTTGAGAATTTAGAAGATATTGGGAAGAGAATCGTACGAAAGTGCAAAGGATTGCCACTTGCTGCAAAGACTATGGGAAGTCTCTTGCGGTTTAAGGATACAGAAGAAGAGTGGCAAACTGTTTTGGACAGTGAAATATGGGAATTGGAGGAAGTGGCAGTAGACTTGTTTCCTCATTTGTACTTGAGCTACGACGATTTGCCCCCTATCTTGAAGCGTTGTTTCTCGTATTGTGCCATTTTCCCTAAAGATACTGTCATAAATGTAGACAGGTTGACCCGAATTTGGATGGCACAAGGTTATCTCAGCACAGTTGAAAATAACCAACAGGAAGTAAAAGGACGTGAGTATTTCATGAACTTAGCTACACGCTCTTTCTTTCACGAGCTGAAGAAAGATGATAAAAATGCAAGTGTTATAATATCCTGCAAAATGCATGATATAGTGCATGATTTTGCTCAGTTTCTTTCTAAAAATGACTGCTATAGCATCAAAGGAACCAAAGCAACTGAAAACAAAGTAGACGTTCTTAGTGTTCGACATCTATGCTGGGAGAGTACTGATAGTACAGTGAATCCTACTTCTATTTGTGATATTGGAAAGATTCACAGTCTATTTGCTGAACACTTGCACGCAAAAGAGCTTCCTCGAGATCTATTCAAAGGTCTTAAATGCATAAGAGTTCTAAATTTACATGGATGTTTGATGCAAGAACTTCCTGAAGAAATAGGAAATCTATTTCATCTAAGGTGCATTGATTTAAGCAGCAGTCAAGTGAAGGACTTACCTGAAGCCATTTGCCGCTTGTGTAATCTGCAAACCTTAGATCTTCACGGTTGTAAGAATCTTTCAAGACTTCCTCAACAGATAGGAAAATTGTTAAACTTGAGACATCTCATTACTACTGACATGCCAAAGTTGGAATCTTTTCCTCAAGGAATTGGAAGGCTAACTCAACTAAGGACTTTGAGTGACTTTGTAGTTGGGAAAGGATCGAGCAAGTTGGGATATATTGGGAAATTGAACCAACTTCAAGGATATCTATCAGTCCATGTGATCGACAATTTGAACTCTGCAGAAGATGTAGTTGAAGCAGAGAAGGCAGAATTCAGAAGCAAGAAGTACGTTAAAGAACTGCGTTTGAATTTCTATTGGACGAGTGAGGTAAGAATGGATGTGATTGAAGCTCTAACACCACCTCCAAACCTTAGATCTTTGACAATCAATGGATACAGAGGTACTCAATTACCAACATGGATAACATTGTCACTTAATAATCTTAGAGTTCTTACACTAAGTGAGTGCTTTAACTGCAACTTTCTGCCACCTTTAGGTAAGTTACCATTTCTTGAAATTCTTTGGGTAAGGCTTATGGATGAGCTGAAACATGTTGGAAATGAATTCTTGGGATTGCCAGGAACCATTGCATCATTTCCAAAGCTAAAGAAGTTGACATTTTCATATTGTTCAGAGTGGGAAGAATGGACAGACTTAAAACCAGAAGTTGTTTGTTCAGTAATGCCTAGTCTTAAGGAGTTAGAATTATATTGCTGTGAAAAGCTTAATAGCCTTCCATATTGTCTCTTGCAAAGGCTGTCATCAATAGAGTCTTTAAAGATCAAGATGTGTCCTTATCTTGAAGTTGACTGGACTAAGATATCCCATATTCAGAATATTGAAACTGGTAATGGGATTTGAGGAATGTTTAATATTTTTGGTGGGCTAGTTTTGATATAAGAGAAAAGGGAGCCATGGAGCAACGGTAAAGTTGTCTCCGTGTGACCTATAGGTCACAAGTTCGAGTCGTGGAATCAGCAGTTGATCCTTGCATTTGGGTAGGCTACCTACATCACACTCCCTGGGGTGCGGCCCACCAGATCTTGCGTGAATGTGGAATGCTTTGTGCACCTGGTTGCCCATAATTTTTATAAGAGAATAAAGACTTCTTATCTGGGAAATGGACTTGTATCTATGTTGTAAGATTATCATACTATTGTCTTTTTGTATTCTGCATGTTGAATTTTTATTACTCCCAGAATTAGAATTACAAAGTTATCATAACGCTTCATCTTCTGCTGTAAGTGTTCCAAGTAATACTTCCCAAACTAAATACTTTCCACCAACCAAACAATGTAACTTCAGAAGTTACAAATTGAAGTGAAAATACATATCACGAGATTATTGTTAACTAATAAGAGTTTATATACATGATATATGTTTTGCATTAATTAGTTTGATACAAACACATAGTATAGACAAATGTTTCCATATCCTGCGAGTTGTGTGCAAGGGTGCATAGAGTTCGTTTCCAGAACACAAGTAATCGAAGAACATATATTTGATCATGATATCGCCGTTCAATTGTCTCAACAAAGTATACCTTAGAAATATTTTGATCTTGATATAAATAGAAAATTTTGGCTATTTTCATTCTCTTTCAATTTATAATGGTACACAGAATTACAAGGTAGGTTGCAAGTGGACAGACATATCTGCCCACGTCAACTGGAAAGAAGCCAGTTTCTTTTAACAATGCTGGCTTACTTTTATGCTGGCGTATTATAGCAAGTTGAAGTTGTAAAATGATTAGGCCAAAACTATAGTCTTTATTCTGCAAAATTGATTAGCAGCTCGATTTTATCGACTCGAAAGGGGCACATTCTGTTGATTGTTCCTCTTTCTTTCAGGTACTTCCTCATCTTCCATAACAGTCTTTTCACGTCCCGAGGTTGGAGCAAATGCACTACACTGCACCGTTAACATTCTCGATATCGTCTTTTGTCAAATGCATCTTGCCTTTGTCTCGTCTAGGGTTTCTTCGTGTTTGATCTGGTTGCCCTCGCTACAGAACAAACAAGATTTTACCAACATCACAATCACTAGAGTCAATGCCATTGTCCATGCAAAGGCACTTATCATAGGAGATTCCCATATGAAATAATTAATATTGTGATTATTGTGTTGGACACATATTGGTGCCTAATGTGGTACCTAGACTATGACAGGCTTAAAGGGATAAGGGCTCGTTCGACAGGGATATGCTTATTGTTTAAGAAACAATGGTAATATTAAAACAAGAACTAGGTATATTAGTACCTTTCTAAGAACAAATGCCAAATAAAGGTAGGCTACCTCCCATTCATCTGGTGATAGAGTACCTGTTATTAGCAACGTAAGTTAGAACAGAAGCTAGGGGGGAAGCATATGAAATAACAACATACTTGGATGAAATATCAAAGCAGTAAACATTCAGCAGCCAACATAACTAAACTTACTTTGGTCTTGGTTCCCATCACCTAATGCACCAAGCCTCCTCATTAGTTCGACGAACTCTGGTTTCTTCATGTATTCCTCCACAAATACGTGGTTATTCTTCACAAAAACTAGCTCAAAGTCATACTGTATTTAAAAAAGACAATGTTGTCAGAAAAAACTAAGGTGGCGAGAAACAACTGCATAATATTCTTGAATTCTATCTATGATATACCTTCCTCAGTGGCTATGTTATATCAGTATTTATGCCTCGTATATAAAACAGAAAATTTCTCTATTATCAAGAAGAATTCATGTAGATTGTAATATACTCTCATTTTGTGACACTCATAACTAGCATTAGAGAGCTCTCTATCAAGAAAAGAGCCTCCTCAATATAAAAGAGAACCAACCAGGGTCTTGATTCAAAGAAAAAAGGATATAAGATCCAAAAAAAGGGAACATAAGAACCTAGAATTTCTCATTTTCAATCAAAGGAAAAAGGATATCTAAAGTCAAAGAACAAATGACTTGTGGGTTCGAAATATATCCAACAACTAAAAACAGGAAGCACAGACACGCTAATACCTCTTCCGCCAATGCCTTGAAGACGTGGAAAGGGACAATCCACTCGGGACAGTCAACAGCATCCTACAATCCAAATCTTAATTGTTTATTTGTAGACAATCAGGGAAGTCAAATATACTCGCACATAGGATGCAATCAAAGGATTTTAAATATCAGGATCCTAACTTGCTTGTCAGGATTTAATAGGAGGAAATAAGATCCCAAGCATAGTACATACAAAATTAGTAGGTTCTGTTAACATAGCTACTCCTCACCTGTTAATATGTTCGCATTAATATTGTCAAATTGAATATTAATGAATGAGTTTTGAGCACCAAAAAAAATATTTGCTTTCATTTGTAACACATGCAAATCCTCACAAGTAGAGTAAGAACATTCATTAGTCTGCTAGAAATTGCCGATGTCAAGGCTAAATCAAAAAGACAAAATCAAAATCCTCCAATATGCACGATTCTAAATGCTTAAAGCAAAAATTGAAAAAAGATGCACATATAAATAGCTACAGAATAGGTAGATAAAAATTGTAGCATTGATTCCAAATTGAAGCCAAGATTTTATGTTTTGCAACTAAATCAACAAAAGAACACGTGCTCTAAATTTTTAGCAATACGATTAAAGGACACAGCTAAGATACATAGAGGCACGAGGTGTACACACCTCCAGATGGAACTTGTATTTGATGCCAAAAGGATTTGAAGATATAAATTTCTGCAATAATAGAAGATCTTAATAAACAATAACACACATACCTAGAATAGAAAGAAAAAACAGAAATCTTTGTAGAAATTTACTAGAAAATGATAACATAAATTACCTTCTCTGAGAATTCTTCATCAAAACGTATCCAATAAACACTATTACCAAAGGCTAGACCTTCAGCTGCAATTTCAGAGGAAAAGGTACCATAAATATATATTTTATATATATATCAAAAGATCTTTAAGACTGTATAAAAAGCTAACTACTACATAACACATTTCACAAATATGCAAGGACACCATCACTCCACTAGTCTGAGAGATGGATACACGGTCATAAAAGAATGGATAATATTAGATAAAATCACCGAGGCTTCCAGTGACATACATGAGAGTATAAAATGAGAAACCGTCACCTAAGATGGTGGAAACCATGCTTGTAAGTGTGATACTATGATGATTGAAGGTGTTAAAAGGGACGATGTAGGCCTAAAATCATATGGAGGGGAAAAAAACTGATTTACAGTAAAAGAACCGCAAAAATGCTCTCAGGCACGCTTCCCAAGAATCTTCTCTTTCCTACTTCCTAGGACTGCAGAATACCTTTTCCGGCATAATCTTTCACCGGAATCTAACTCTTCTTTCTTCTAAATCAGTAATCACCCACTGTGATTATTACCAAACCTTTCGTTCTTCTAAACCAGTAATCACCCACTGTGATTACTACCAAACCTTCTTCTCCTTTTCACGTAAGTAGTTGTTTAGATCTAATATGGGAGAATGCTGGCTTCAAATCTTTCGATATTACCATATGGAATTCCAACAAAGACACATGGTTTGAATGGGTGGAGAGAAGTCGCAATATGATGAGACGCTCATCCATGGGCAAAAAGACAATGGAATGGTTGTGCTTCATACTTAAAGAAGCTTCGAAAGATCAGAAGAATCTAGTGAGGAGATGGAAGAATAAGGAACATCGGACAGAATATTTCTGCACTAGGAAATTCAATGCTCACGGAAGGTATATGAGTATCCTGTCATTAAAGGGAGAGGAAAGGTCAGTCATTATTATCCCAGAGCTGGCCTTGAATGCAGGTTGGAAAGACATTGCATTTAAGATAGAGAGATTCATTTATTATGGCAACAAGTTGAGTGAAAAAATACCTCCCAGATACACCGTGGACAACTACCCTTATGCCAAAGCAGTTAAGGAGAGTAAATGGCAATCCAATACCCTTAAAGAGGCAGTAGTCCGTTCAAAAAAGGAGACATTTCTATTATGGAATCACACGGAATTGAGGACACTGGCCTGCTCAAAAGATGCATTATTGGGTACTTTGGAAAGGATATTACTGAGCGACCCACACTAACAGACATAAGGAGATGGGTCGTTGCTTCTTGGAACAAAGCTTTTGGGGTCAACATGTATGAGATGACTGGTAACATGCTTCTATTCGAATTTCCGAATAGATACATGGCTGAGCAGGTTTTGCAAGGTGAATGGAGATGTAAAAAGTTCAAGTTCCATCTGGAATGGTGGAACTACACTGCTAGCTGCATATCAAATTCTCAAATAGTGGAAACCTGCTGGATTAGAGCCATGGGGATTCCCCTTCATCTCTGGTCACAAAAGATCTTCAAAAAAATAGGAGATCTCTGTGGAGGATGAATAGCTACTGAAGAAGAAACTGACCTCAAAAATCATCTCAAGTGGGCCAGAATCAAAGTTGCTGGTGATGGCAGGAAAATACCCACTGAAATTGTGATTGAAAGAGAAGGGATCAGATTTTTCATCCCAATCTGGGCTGAAAAACAAGCAAGATTCGAGCTGAAACCATCGGAAACCCTAGCCTGTGCCGGAGAAGAAACAGAGAAAGGTGCAAATCTCACAAGCGACCAGTGGACAAAGGAGACCTATGAGAAACCAACGGTTAAAAGCAGTCAAACAACTATAAATATGATGGGGAAGCACGTGGGGTGTACTTCATTGCAGGTGAAGAGTAAAGGAGAGGCACGTGTGCAGCACATGCAAAGTCCAAGTTCTATTTGGGCCTAAATAGCACAAATACTGGTCTGAAATTAAATGGGCCTGATCCAGCAGCCCAGGTCATTTTTAATGACATTTCACGGGAGCCCAATGAAGAAAAAAGAGTGACACCTTATTTTGAGGAACGTGGCAGCGTCTCTATTTCGAAATTCCAAGAAAATAACGCAGAGAATCCAATTTCCTCCGCAACCCTCGAAAGTATGGCACATGCAACAACAGAAAGGGAATGCGAACAGCCTGAATGTGATGAAGAGGCCGGAAAATTGGGACAGAATGCAGGGGAGCTCACTATTCACACGAAATTAGGGGAAGATCAAGCAGATAGCAGGCTGACGGTCCAAAAACAACTAATTCATCTCAATTCTGAACAAAACTGGGAGCTGGAGGAGGTTACTCTCTCAATTCAACACCAAAATTCAGTAACGGATAAGGAGATGGACGCAACACTATGGGTTCACCAGAACATGATTAAATTGTGGAAAATGTTCGGAGTAGATTTTTTTGGTCACGAAGAAGAAGCACTGGAGCTGCTGATGCAAATTGACAGTTGTAGACAAGTTAGAAGAGTGGAGACAGAGGTGGAGGTGAAGAAACAAAGATTCAAAGGCTCACTAGAATTAAAAGGTCTCGCTTCCTTTGATGTCAAATTCAAGAGTGATGGGAAAAGAAATAGGGGAAAAGACCTATCAATCATTGCAATATGAAGATCAATCTAATATCATGGAATGTAGGGGATTAAATGACAAGAAAAGGGAGATCATAAAGAGTCAAATAAGCAACTGGAAGGCAGATATTATTTGTATGGAGGAAACAAAACTGGAGGGGGATATCAAGGGAATTGTCAGTCAAGTTTGGGGGGTGGGGGGGAGATGGGTAAGGTATGCATGTCTAGAAGTTAGTGGCACGAGAGGGGGAATTTTATTACTATGGGACTGTAGAGTGTGGAAAGGGGAGGTGTTACAGATTGGGGCATACACTCTAACATGTAAGTTCGAGGCTCTCTTACACAACTTTCAATGTCATATAACAGGAGTATATGCTCCAAATTGCAGAATTGAAAGAAGAACAGTATGGAGGGAACTTGGTGCAGTGAGGGGTCTGTTGAGTGGCCCTTGGGCAGTTTGTGGTTACTTCAATGTCACAAGGTTTCCCACCGAAAAAAGGGACGGCCTTAGGAGGTCCAAAGAGATGGTGGAATTCTCGGATTTCATTGAAGACATGGAGTTGATAGACCTTCAGCTTGAAGGAGGCTACTACACTTGGTTCAAAGGGATAATCATATAACTGCTTCTAGAACTGACAGGTTTCTAATTTCAGAAGAATGGGATGATAGCTTCAGAAACATCAAGCAAACTATCCAACAAAGGTTGATCTCTGATCATACCCCGGTGGCCCTCTGTTGTGGTGTTTGGGAGCAAGCCAAACTTATGAATTATGAAGGTTTTGATGGCAGAATCATGAACTGGTGGACAACTTATGAATTCTCGGGAAGACCAGACTACATTTTAGCTTGCAAACTAAAAGCCTTCAAAGGCAAGCTAAAAGAATGGAGCAGAAGTTTCTGGGAATGCAAAAATCTAAACTAGTGAGCCAATTGGCAGAATTTGATACAATACAGCAAGCAAAAGCTTTAACAGAGGAGGAGTCAGTGAGGAAGGCAGCTGCCCTGATGGATTTTGAGGAGCATCTCAAGAATGAAGAAAGTGCATGGAGACAGAAATCTAGAACCATGTGGCTCAAAGAAGGGGATAGAAATACAAAGTTTTTTTATCGCACTGCCAATGCACACAAGAGGTACAATAATATTGATCAACTGGTGATCCAAGATGAAACAGTGGAGGAGCCAAGCAGAATAAAGAATGAGATCATTGAATTCTATAAGAAGTTATACACAGAACCTGAAGAGTGGAGACCTGCAGCCAATTTTGACAACTGCCCCACTATCTCAGATTTGGAGAAGGAATTTCTACAAAGCAAATTTGAGGAGCAAGAAGTTCTGAGTTGTTTGACTTCTTCATTCGGTTTGTAGCCATACCGTATGGAGTGAAAAATTCCTTTTAATGGGAGCTTCCTGCCATACAGAGACAAGTTCTGAATTTGGTTCAAGGTGCTTATTCTCTATCTTTCTTCGTAAAGCAGAAGTTTTTCAAGGTTACTCTTGGCCGAATCTAACGGAATTTTCTTTAAGAAGTGTGGAAGTGACAAGGCCCCAGGCCCTGATGGTTACACAATGGGCTTTTACATTAAGTGCTGGGATATTGTGAAGCAGGACATCATGAAGGCTTTCAACAATTTTCATTCTCAAGAAATGTTTGAGAAGAGCTTCAATGCAACATACATAGCACTGATTCCAAAGAAGACAGGTGCTAAAGAACTGAGAGATTTCAGGCCAATCAGCTTGATAGGGAGTTTCTACAAGCTGCTCTCAAAAGTTTTGACTGAAAGACTGAAGACAAATAATGGATGCAGTGTTGATAGCCAATGAAGCAATGGACTCGAGAATCAAAAAGAAAAAACCAGGAATTCTATGCAAACTAGATATAGAGAAGGCCTATGATCATGTCAACTGGAGTTTTCTTTTGAAAATGCTAGAACAGATGGGTTTTGGGCAGAAATGGATCAATTGGATGAAATTCTGTATCTCTACTGTCAGATATTCCATCCTCATAAATGGATCTCCTGAAGGTTTCTTCCCTGCCAATAGAGGTCTAAGACAAGGTGACTTCTTATCTCTCTTCCTATTCATCATAGCCATGGAAGGTCTAAACAACATGGTTAAGACAGCAAATGTCAATAGATGGGTCAAAGGCTTTGAGGTTGACAGGAATGGTGCTAATAGTCTAGAGATCACACATCTCTAATATGCTGATGATACTCTAGTCTTCTGTGATGCTGAAAAGGAGCAGCTTAGATATTTGAGGATCATCTTGGTTTTGTTTGAAAGAATTTCAGGACTTCACATCAACGGGAGAAAGAGCTATATTTACCCCATCAATGAAGTCCACAATATGGAGCAACTGTCACTGGTACTGGGAGGAGAAGTAGGGTCTCTACCTTCCATTTATTTGGGGATGCCTCTGGGTGCAAGATCTAAATCCGAAGAGATCTGGAATTCAGTTATT